ATAATGTCACTTAGTCATAAATTGTATTTAATGTCATGAATGCCATTTGGGGATTCAGGGAACTGGCTGTGCCTCCAGGATGTCACTATTCAATGCAATTCAGAAAAACAGATGGGAATATTAGTTGGATATCTTTTTCAATAAGTTCATGCTCCTAGTATCAATGAATAAAGCAAATGTCTTAATACATTTTGTTTTTACCAGCATAGGGAAAATATTTCATTAGAATAAATGCCTTTTTTTTTCCCTGAGAATTGCTTCCTGTTACATTTTTGCATTTGCTGCTCTCTTAGGACCAGCTTCAACATAAGTCATTGGAACAGAAGGAGTGCCTGTTGGGGTTCCTTTAAATGGGTCCAGATGGTCCTCTCAGTCAATAAGTGAGATTACCAGCTTTCAAGAAGAAAGATTTTATTTTCCTTCTTTTCTTTCCTGGTATAAGCCACTAACCCTTTTAGGCAACTCAACATCCGAATTTCTACAAACTTCATTTTTTTTTTTTTACACCTGACAGTATTAGCCACTGTGGTAGTCATCAAAAATAGGATATAAACACAAGATATTACTGATGCAGGACAACAACTTGGTTACCAAGGAAATGCCAAGTCTCTATAAAGGGGTAACATTTAACATCACCTTTTAATCAGAACCATGAAGTTGCTCAATAACAGAATATTCAAGTCCATTGAAGTGAATTTCTATCCCAGCCTTTACAAACTCCTTTCAGTGGGATAAATAGGTTCATCTTTGTGTCCTACAAATAGCTGGTTCTTAACCAACTAAGAAACATCACAGGTTTTTAAAAAGCAAAAACAATTTACAACTAAGAAGAATAAAAAATAGGGAAAAAAGAAGCGAGGGAGGAAAATGTCTGTAAATGGTTATGGATAGGTTATATAGGATTGAGATGATTATAGAATTCATAGTTTTAAAATATCTACATAAAATTATTAATGCAATTTTAAAGATATGCTTGATAAATTATGCAACATTGTCCCTATGCTAAACTAACTACAAAATCATAGTGCCTTTTATTCATATTTCTACACTAGAATCCCCAGCCCACAAGTCAATTGATGACTATAATCAGAATGTTTAATTCAAAAAGAAAGTTAAAATCTTAAAATTCTCATGTTTCTTAAGAATTAATGAATATTGTGGGGTTAGAAGGAGAAACTGAGATAAACCTAGTTTAAATCTAGTACTAAAAATGACATAAGCATTCATTTAGTAAAGAGGTTTACTTTGGAGTTAACAGAAGAGCTAACATTTTTTGAAACCAGCTAAAACCAAAGCGGAACAAATCCTTTCTCTGGTAGAAATCACAACTGCCTATCAGCAATTATAAAAACAATAACACTGACCTTAAATCAGCCTTAAAGGTCTCTGTACACAATTATTATTATCAGCTTTATGAATTTTCAGTTGCAATCTCAGCCACAAATTCAATAAATTCAGAGTTGGCAATTAATAGGAAGATGGCTCTTTTAACAGCTTTCACTGGAAAAGGCTTTTGAAAAAGTTCACATTTTACCAGCATTTTTCATGTTAAAAATGAAAGCTCTTTCAAATCCTGCTCAGCATACTTTAGACAAAGATTTATGATATCTCAGGCAAACAACAATAAAATTCAAAACCAAATTCAGTCAAAACTAGAAATGATTTAAGTAAGTCATATCTGCAATCTTGGGAAATCAACAGTGAACTAAAAGGATTTTATACCTGGAATGTTTTTTATTCAATGCAACTCTTGGAACATTTTTTTTTTATCATCTTGAGTATATAATTTCACTTCCTGCACTCTGTCTTAAATGTAACAGCTAACACAGTGGAGAAACCCAATGAAAAAAGATCCCTTGCATGTAGTTATTATAATTAACAGATTCAAAATCTATTACTGACAGTCAGGTACCATAACAACCTTATATGGCTGTAAACTGCTAGGAAACTCTTCAAAACCAGCAAGAGTCTGCTTTAGGGAAATCCTGGACAACCCTGAGGACATTCCTGGTTGTCAACATCTGTGGGTGTTGCCATGGGCACAGCCACAAAGAACCCCGCCATCTCTACAAAAAGGTATACACACAGAGAAGATGGGAGGGATGCAGACGGTAAATTAATAAAGGAATCAAAAAGAACACGTACGCTGGCCGCTGGCCGTATAGAATAGGTGCACGATTTTGAGTCCACGCTTCACGCTAATTCTTTTCTACTGAAGCTGGAGAATCCAAATACAACTGGACTGTAATTGTGACTAAACACGAGCCAGGGGGTGGAAATAATATCCTAAAACTCTGCACTTGTACCATTTTATCACAAGCCTTCATTCGAAACTCAAAGTCAATTACATTTAAAATAATATTTAAACTTCCACTTCTAAACCCTTGATGGTCGTTTATACATGTACAGAAGAGAAAAGAACAGGTTACTAGGAACAAGAACCCGATATTGATTTTCGGCGGTGCAGGAAGGCATCTCCTTTCTATTGGGCTGCTGTCAAAGCCACTCTTTAACAGCTGGAGTCAAATTGCACTATTTACAGCAAGAGCCCTTGTCAAGTGGACCATAAGTATCCTAACAATACACTATTCAAATGGCACTTTGCCACACAAATTGCTGACGTGATGAATAACCTATGTCAATGACTAAGGCCAATATAAAAGTTTCATTTTTATGGGAGGTTTTTACATTCCCACATTAAGTGAGCTTTCTTCGAAGACCTATTAGGCTGTATATTGCAGGCCTTTGGACGATGAAAATAATTAAAATCTGTTTAAATACATCAAGGGAACTTGACAACATTAATATGGATCTGGTGTTAACTGCATTTGTCACACGAGTCTGAACCGTGCCCTTCTGCTGCTGGCACTTCCCCCCGGCACGTGCGGCACAATGCGGGGCGTCAGCGGCCGCGCACCATGAAACACGGGCATTCTCCTTTTGTGCCTCTGACTTACGTCCAACGAATGTTTCGCTTTACAAGCCAGGCTTTGAAGTCCTGTGAGGAAATTCAAGGTTGCTTCTGTGTGCGAGAGGACAGCTGGAGTCACTGAATGGTGTGTTTCCTACTCTTCCTGGTGACGCGGAGACCTCCTAAATTAGTCCGGAAACAAAGCTGCGATAGGCTTTTCAGAGTGTTCCTCAACATGGAGGCAGCTTTGTACCAAAAATACGCTTAAACCCATAATACAAAGTGAGAAGAGGCACATTCTTCATTAAGCAGATGTAAAAAGAAATAGTATTATTACAAAATTTTTTATTTAACTCCATGATAGTTAAAATATATATGTAAAATACATCCTTCTGAGAAATGGGTATCCTCTGTCAAAAATTTGTATCATGTTCAAAAAACAAATTGCCTCGTATATTTCTTCACCATTGTATTGTGTATTTCTCTATTCTATCACTAGGAAGGGTGCTATTGTGTAGGTGAACCCTATATATCCAAATCTTAACTTAACATGTGGTGCTAGGCAAATTTTAAGTGCTCAACAGCCATGCGTGGTTAGCGGCTACCATATTAAACAGTGAAGCTCTAAATATTTAAAATGTGGTGGTAGGCAAATTTTAAGTGCTCAACAGCGTGGTTAACGGCTACCATATTAAACAGTGAAGCTCTAAATAAGCAACAGACGGAGCCTTTGGGCACCCATGCTCTAGAAAATCAGTTTTTTAAACAAGCATTTCCAGGACAGTACAATGGGTCTACATTGTAGCAGTTAAAATAATCCAGTTTCTCATTTTCCTCATTTTTTAAAAATATATCTGATTGATTTTTTTACAGAAAGGAAGGGAGAGGGATAGAGAGTTAGAAACATCGATGAGAGAGAAACATCGACCAGCTGCCTCCTGCACACTCCCTACTGGGGATGTGCCCGCAACCCAGGTACATGCCCTTGACCGGAATCGAACCTGGAACCCTTAGTCCACAGGCTGATGCTCTATCCACTGAGCCAAACCGGTTAGGGCTCCTTTTAGTCATTTTACAGACAAAGAATGCAGATAAAGAATTTAAAATCAACAAGCCAACAGACAAAACAGACCTTCTTTCTTTAAAATATAATGAAGCTATCAAGATTTCTGCCTTGTAGAGATGATTTTACTAAGACTGTTTATTTCTTACTTTGAAGCTAATTTCCTCCCACTGCAATTTAAACAGTTTCTATCTTGTTTTATCCTCAGCAGAATCTGAGAAAAATCTGTTCCCATCACTAACATATTGTGTTTCTTTAATCAGCCTCTGAGACCTGGGCCCTCTCCTTCCCCGAAGACTTGTCTTTGGGTAGCTGCACAGACTCAACTCCTCCAGCATCTCAAATGGGACTCATTTTTAAAATGTTTATTGTAGTTGTTGTTCTCTTTAAAACCTTTCCCCAAAACTATGTGCACTCTTCAAAAATTATCTAAAGAAAATAAAATCTATATATACTATTATCACTAGCTAAAGGGTAGCTCTGAGGTCCTTTAAGAAACTGAGAGAAATAGTAACCAGTTTACCTTCTGGGCATTAAACTAGACATTGGAAACCTAAAAAGCTGGTGATCCTAGTGATGCTGAGTGTATCTAAATAATTGTCCCCACAATGATGCAGTTTTTCTGATACATTTTTGGTTTCTTTGTAATTAGCATTATAAAAAGAGGTAAAATACTCTCAACTAAAAAAACAAACAAACAAAAAACCCTAGACCACAGAATGGAGGTTTCTTTCCTCTTATCAATGGAAAACTATCCATCTAGAGTTCAAGAGTTAATATAAAATTGGCTCAATTTTTACAAGCTACAACCTATTTTATCAAAAGGAATGCTACATCAAGAGAAATAATCATTCAAAAAGGTATCCCGATTAACCCAAGATCACTTGGTGATAAGTCTGGTAGATGCAGATCATATGAGTTCTTGTTTTTGTACTGATATTTACTCACCACATATTTACGAAGGCATATTAGTTCTTAGTCAGGGTTGATGATGTCCTGTTAAGCAGCAGCTTGACTTGAACTTACCTTATATGAAGACTCCACCTGCAGACCAGGGCAAGGTATTGGCCCAAACTGGTAGGAGCTGGAGGGTCTCTGCTCGACACTTTTGTGCTTATGTGTCTCTGAGGCAACTGAAAGTACTGACTCAGGCTTTAGAGACTGTGAATCATCACAACAATTAAGAATAATTCTTGCTCTTTCTCCTGTCTCATGTCTTTCCAAAGTGCCTGGAAAACAAGATTAGAGATAAAAATGTATGAAAAATATTTGTCCCAAAAGAATGCAAACAAAAAAATATACTTTGAACAGGAAATCACAGTTCTTTAAGCTTTCTCTAAATTATTCAAATCATCGTCTTACAAAGGCTGAAATTATGGATTTGAAAAGCTTATCTTCCTCTTTGTGCTTTTTCATCCACTGAAATCAACATGACATTCAATAGTCTTTAACAGTACAAGCTCTTATTATAGAATAAGTAAGTGATCAATGACAAAAAAGCTATAGAATATTTTAGTTAGTGTACCAACTCGCAAACAACAGAGAATCCCCAGTGCTTTGCTTGGGTTCCTAAGCCTAAAAGATTTGTGTTGGTGATACAGTTCAAGTGAATAGGACAAGTAAGAACTCACATGTTTATTACTACCTCCCTCACCCAAGTATTCCCACAGCCTCAGGAATGCAGGCCACTCTAGGGTGTTGTTGTTGGTATTGCTGGTATTGTAGCTGTTATAACATTTGACCTTTATTTCTTATGTTATTAGAAGAGGAAAAAATTCCTTCGCCCTTTTCTCTGCCATTCTTGCAGTTTCAGAATTTCAAGGCGTTGGCAAGTTCAATTTAAAGTTAAAAGGAACAAATATAAAACAGAGCAAAAGAATCAGAAAACAATTTATAGAGTGTTTTTATGAAATACAGTGCCATATGTGCAGTGAAATCTCAATAGATATGAACTAATTATGATCATTGTATTATATCAGTTATGAGTTCAGTTGCATTATTTATATCTTATTAAATATACAAACTATATAACTACAAAATAAAGAAAATTCACTTGACATACAATCTAAATACAGATTTTATTTTATATTATTCTTTTCCTATCAATGAGAACAAAGTAGTTGTACTATTTGCTAAGAAGGAAAAAGATCATTCTTACTGGTGATATTAAGAAAATACCAACTTAAAGTAATAGCCATCAGACAATAGAAATAATTATTCTATACCACTGTCTTTAGACAGATAGATAGATTTGAAGATTATGACTACCCAATCCTCATTTCTCCTCCTGTCTTCTATATCTTCCTTTACAGCAACTAAACTACCATTAGTCGGTGCTCTGGATTCGGAATCAGTAACAATTATTATGGTAAAATACTGGGCAAAAATGTAGCCCCTAGTCTCTTAGCAATGATATTTGTTTCATTTTCCTACAGTCATATATTACCATCTTTAACATAAAACATAATCAGCATGCTCTTTCTCTAAGGTTTCCATTTCCATCAAGATTGATATGTCTTCAACAGATGAATTTGGCAGCAACATCAGAAAAATCCTCTCTCAAGGATGACAATAAGAAGAGCTTCACCAACTAAAGATAATAGTTATTACTCCTCCCAGAAAATGAACTTGTAACTGCAGTATCTGGTAAAATTCACTGTCTTTATGAGAAATAACTCTTTGAATAATGGCGTCACCATGGATATTTTCTTCTCATAGGTTTTCTGTTGTTTTTCAAACTATCATATTTTTTAAAAGATTTTAAGAGTTCTTGGGAAATAATTCATTATACTACAATAGATAGGAAATATATCTTATATAATTTTCTATCCTATCTAATAAAAGACAAAAATGGTAATTGGCGTACGACCAATACGCTTTTCATTGGCTAATCAGGGCTATATGCAAATTAACTGCCAACTAAGATTGGCAGTTAACTGCCAACTAAGATTGACAGTTAACTGCCAACTAAGATTGGCAGTTAACTGCCAACAAGATGGCGGTTAATTTGCATATGTAGGC